TTTGTATTATAAATCATTATAATAATGTTTTTTTGTGTAACGGTTATACTAAATCTATTCAAAATTTATATATTACTTTGTAAATATTTATACTTAGTTTATATTCTGTTTTTTTTTTTTTTTATTTTATTTATTTATGATGCTCTATATCTATTTATAAGGCTGTGCGGCGATATGTTCTTTGCCTGGTGGCATAGGACAGAAGGTATCCTAGCTTGACCACTCGACATTTGGTGTGGTTGTGTAGCATGGCACAGTCATTTTCAGTAAAGAGTTTCTTTCTCCTACAAAACAAAGACTTTAATTATTAGAAAATAATACGGGATCAAATTATTCCTATTGCAAACAAAACCGGTTAACAAGAAGACGCGAAACGTAACTTTCAGAAAAAGAATAAGGGTGTACAGACAGGTGCTTTATAGATGCCACTTTAGAGCATGCATAACAAAGTGTGGCAACGCCGCATACATATGTCAATAAAAAAAAAAACAATTGAACATTGCTTAACGTTACAGAGTGATCATTTAAAAAAAAATCTTGTTAGCGAACTAAATCAATCAAGCATTAATATTCTTATTAAGCTGTCACCGAAAATTTGGATTTGATGACCAAAGTGTATTTGATAAATTTCAAAACAAGATATGAAGTGGGTGCAAGAGTTTAGTGGTAGATTTATATGCAATGTAATCTATGATTAACATTCTAGTTGGCTAGCAGAGCACCTTTTAAATAATCAATCAGAAACAATGAAAATTATTAAATTGTTTTCGAAGATTGACCAATAAATGCGCCGTTGCCACACTTAAGTAAGCAAAGTTAAGAACGGTATTAAATATGTGTATTTCATAAATAACTAAGTTATTTCATGGCAGCTTATCAAAGAAAATATTGCACTATCCGTAATGATGAAACAGATAAAAATAGAAAATAGTGGGTTGAAGTCGCTCGGGTTTCCGGGCCAACGGAAGTAATACCTCGAAGAGGATACAATTATGAGGTTTCTTTTATATTTATAGTAAACTGGGCACTTTCAACTTGCCGACAGTGGGCCGAGCCAATTTCCGTGCGACTGTGCGTCTCTGAGGAAGAAACGCAAGACGCCAGACAGACGTTGGCAGAACGATTAAGCGGTAACATCACGTGTTATTCCACGCAATTAATAAGACCGGCAAATTGGCAGTATTTATATTTTCCTTATTTAATTACTTGTAAATCCCGGCATAGAATAGGCCACCCCTTCCTTACCTTGTGGATGTCGTAAGAGGTGACTGAGAGAGCTTATGGTCGAGACTTGGGTAACAGCGTCATTTTTAAAACATCACCAAAAGTCAAACTGAGGTTGCCAACCCGCCTGCTAAGCTTAGCAAGCGACTACTAGCAAAAACCCCTTATGGGGGAAGCTATATTCAGTAGTGGACAGTAATTTATTTATTTATTTATTCATTAGTACAAATATGTGTACATGGCGGACTTAATGCTAAAAGCATTCTCTCCCAGTCAACCATAGTTAAGTGTCAGAATACTCGAATGCGGTTCTAGTCATTATTGATATACATACATACCAAAAATACATATATAAACGAATAAATATATATAAATAACAAATATACTTACACATGTATGACATATACTATATTATACACGAAATTGAGAATAATATAAAGCACTTACTGCTCGGATAAAGTAAAACAGTGAGCTTGTGAACGGCTGTGCGGTGAACGGCTAACGTACAAAAATATTTTCCTTATTTATTTATTTATCATAACCGCATCATATTAGTCGTTAATAGTTCACAGGCTTCCTCTTATTGGAGGGGGGTCAGTAATTGTCACACTTGCACACGTTTGCAACCGCAGTTAGGCATTGGTAATGTTTTAACCCTTGTTTGCATGATTTTTTTTTATTGGTGAAATAAATCAAGGTGATTATAATTAATGTTCAAAATTAAAGGAAAAATGGTTAAGAAAGTAAATTTGACAGATATGTTCTTTTTTCTGCAATGGACATTAAAAAGGTATTCAGACACGATCAACTTAAAGTGAACTTGTTCTTTTATATAATTTTTGGGCATTCAATGTTATGATGGCAATTTCCACCAGTATGGAAAGAAGGGTTAAGAGGGACGCTGTTTTTTTTTTTGATTGATGGAATGATGGTATACACTGGTGGGGCATCAGTGAGGGATGATAGGTGAAGATGAAAGCAGTTTAGTTAGCCCATCGTGATGAATACTCTTGGAATTCAGCACGGTGATTTCCAGAGAGGACCACGGGGAGGTCGACCTGTTAAGGTATATTGTTAGCAATGGAAATGGTAATCCGCATTACTAACAATCCCTTCCCCCTAGAGGGACGCTGTTGCCCATCCTTCGACTAAAGTTACCTTTAGTCGAAGGATGTTAATGTAAGTAGTTTTTTGCGACACTTATGAGAAAGGAAGGGGTGGCCTATTCTATTCCGGGACAAACCATAATACAGAGTAAAATACCAAGTAAAAATGAACATTTATCCCAAAGAAATATGAATTGTAATGATAAAAATTTTAAACCATAAAATACAAATACGGTTCACCCAGCAGCTTATGGGAGGCTCGAATTTTTAATGATTTGTTGACCTCACTTGCCTTGTTCAAATTTCACTTATTTTTTCTTTCTAAAATTTTAATTGGGTTACAACATATAAAAAAAATATATTATAGCCAGCCTAGCCTAATTGTTCTAATGTGATGTGTTTACCAATGGACAATTATTTTTTACTTATATAGATTAGAATCCATTGCCACTACTGGACACTCTTGTCTTTAGAGAACAATATTTAAAAATCTGTAACATTCCGGATATTTGATAACATACAGATTAGATATATTAATATTTTAAAACCGTTATTGGCCATTTAGTTTCAGCATAGAATAGTCTACCCCTTCCTTTTCCGCGGGTGTTGTAAGAGGTGACTAAGGGAGAGGTATAAGCAGCAGCGTCCAAAACATCTCTAAACTAACCTAACTGCGATTGCCAATCAGCCTGCCAAGCGTGGCAACTACTGGCAAAACCCTCTAAGGGGGAGGCTTATGCGCAGTGAATGGTTAAGGGTTGTTATGATGATAAATGTAAAACCAATGGCTTTTTTTATTTCAAATTTGGTAATAACAATGGCCATAGTAGTAATTGTTGGAAGTCTGTCAAGGAATGCAAATAATTTTCATCTATAGCCAACAATATCTCGACGCAAAAGCTGAAAAAGTGAACGCCGCCGGACCCGACACATATATATATATATACAAAGATATATATAGATAGACATACATGAATATAAATAAATATATATAAACATAGAACTATTATATATCGGTGTATAGTTTTAAGTATTTTAATTGTTGTTTATGTTTACCATCAGACCGGCTGTATGCCCGCTTGCCACCCTCGTGATATAGACAAAAATTAATAAGTGCATTAAAGAAAATTATGTATAAAATGTTAATCTTGCAATACTACTCTCATTACGACGATCTATTACCGAAATTTTGTATTCTAATTGTAAAAAAAGCATTCAGAAAGCATTTTTGGTTTCTTCAGGGTCGGTAACGCACGCGTAATGCTCCTAGTATTGCATGCGTTCATAGGCTACGGTAACCGCTTACTATGAGGTGGGTCGTTAGCTTGTTTGCCACTTCAGTGGTATAAAAAAGGAATCTTTAAAAGTAAAATATAAATTACAAGTAATATATTTAGTTTTATATCTAAGTACATACATAATATTCTATGATTAATATTTTTGGTCCCCATTCATAAGATTGTTTTTTAAACCATTCTCGCAGGTAGGTAACTTATAATTTGCTAGCAATAGGGACATCAGTGCCCATTGGTCGCAACATGCCTATTTCCACTTAGTCTACCTTGAAAATGAGCATGGATGCCTGCGAATTCTTTACGATACGCTATCTGACCACACTTAATCCTAACCTACCATTCCCGGATAGTACTCTCCGCCAGCAGTAACGAATCGTAATTGAAATAACCATTAATTTTTTAATTTTTTTATATCAAAATATTTTAGAGTCAGTTTAGCAAACACAATTATTTGCATTTAATAATTTATATTTGAAGCAACAATGTAAGAGTCTTAACGGAAAGAGATAACCATGGAAAGGTTAATGCTTCCCAACCAGTGGGCCGTCAGCTTGTTTGTCACTTCTGTGTATAAAAATCAAGTATAGGAAAACATAGTAAGCTACAGTGTAACAAAACCTCTCCATACTATAAATATAGCGTAACAGTTGATTGATGACTCCCAGTAACTCGGTGTAGAGACAACCGATTGGCCTTGGCTCATTTGGTACCTAATCCGATATTTTAGGGGTTTAGGGGACTGCGTATTTATCAGGAGGTACATTTGTTGAGGTCTCGTAAACTATTTGTGTAAAAACTAAACGATAAATTATATTTGATGGTACCCTGGTAAAGGCAGTATCGATTTCTTGTAAAAAAAAACATGACGAATGTAGACAGAGACAATAATCGATTAAATGTCTTTAATTCATCACCAATTGCAGCATTCGTGTACATTTATTTAGAACAATAATTGTTCACGCAAACGAGGGACATGTTTTTTTAAATGCGTTTAATGCTTACGCATTTGGAAATGCTAAATTATTAATAGATCCCGTTATGTAACTGGATACTCAGCCCGGATAGCGCAGCGGTGCGGCTTTCAAAATGATATCGGGATCAAGTTGTGTTGGATGGTATTTTTTTAACCTATATAATTGACGGACATTTTATCTACGGAAAATTACTTTTGACCGAGGCTTTTAAATCTGACGAAAGATAAATCCTTGGCATAAATTTTAGTCCGTCCATAATAAAACCCCTGAAATACACGTTCTGTGCAAGTACATTGCGATTTATATGAAGGGAAATGTTTGGTTCCCGAGACAAATGTCTACCGTCTGCGCAAACCTTAAAGTGTATTTCGTGATAAATATTAATAAAATTGTATACTTACTAATCTCTTCGGAGTCATCGGATATATCCGAGGATTTGTCTTCAATTTTCTGCAAATAAAAATTAAGAATTAACAAACGTAATAGTAGACCGCCGTGTGGTCCCAATATAGACCACACCTTCTTTTACAGTGGGTGTCATAAGAGGCGATTAAAAGAGCTCAATGGTTCCTCTTTAGGCATTATTAAAAGCCTAACTGCGGTTACCAACCCACCTGTTAAGCGTGGCAACTACTGGCAAAACTCCCCTTACGAGGAAGACAGTTCTGATGTAGCACAGTAAAGTTCCGTCCCATTATCTTAGTTCTTCATTTTAAGATTTATCATAACAGTAACAACCCCTGTACACACGAGTACCACTGTTCGGGACAGGTCAAATATGAGATATTATAAGCTTCTCATACACAATGTGACACGTGACTATTATGTACTTGTATATAACGGTGGTGAGCTCGCTGCCTGCCATGTTAGATTCTAATTAGGTTTGGCATATTTCACATGTGAAATTTCGTATATCGAAATCATACGTTACTCCAGTAACGTTGCTTTATATAGACTGTTACAGATAGCTGTAAATGAAATTGCAGTTAATCGCTGTTTTTTTTAATGGATGGCAATGTAATGGTAACCCCGCCCGCGCTATCGGTATACACTGGCAGGGCACCAGTGAGAGATAAGTGAGGATGAAAAGGCAGGCCAGTTTGCCCATCGTGACGAATTCAACGATAAATTAGTTACGATGGTTTCCGGGGGGGAGCCGCGTGGAGGTCGACCTGATGTGGTATATTAATAACAATGGGGAGTAACCTCGACATTACTAACAATGTCTTCCCCCCTAATCGCTGTGTTCGAATTTACACATATCGGCTGCCCTGGATTAGTGGAGAAATGAAATCGCAGCAGACGTCCGAATGGGGCATAAAGAGTGAGCGAATAGAGACTTTATCATACCGCACTTGTCTATTCGCTTCTTCATCATCATATCAGCCGTTATTCCTCTACTGTTGAACATAGGCCGCCCCCATAGATTGCCATAAGGAACGGTCATGAACTACCTGCATCCATTGACTTTCTGCAGTACATTTGAGGTATATAATATGATGTCACTCACTCACACTTATAAAAATCACAATTAATATTTCACTTCGTTGCGAACGAAAATCACTTTCCATTTATCACAGGTGTGAAAAATGGACTTTACTAAACAACAATGAATTAAATGTAGCAATTATTTCGATACAATATGCAATACCCAATATTGTAATATTTTCAAAATGGAAGCCGTTGTCAATCCTGACAATATTGGTATCAAATTTAAGAATAATTTGAGTATTGCCACTAATATCATAATGATACGGTATTAAAATATCAATGTATCTACATTAGCCGCGGGTGTACAATCACTTTAGTGATGGGCCAAATTTGGGGCTATCTGTATAGAACGCGTATCGTCGAGTTAATCTGCAAGGGCGAGACATTGAGAAAATGAGGAAATAAATCAAGTTTTCTTTGAAAAGTAGAATTGAAGTGGGCTATTTTCCAGAAATATTGAATTGGACACAGCTAGATGATGGCTTTTAAGAAAATTACGTTTCGAGAATTTTCGCTATTGATATTTCATTGAAGTAACGTAAATAGCATTAATATCCTGTTGTCGGGATCATTTCACTCCTATTTTTTTACCAACCTCCAAATTTTATTCGACACATATTTTTATTAATTTTTTATATGATATTTTACCTTTAATTATTTTCTCTCTAACTGCACTAGGTTGGCTGGAAGAGATCTCTTTTAGAGATAAGCCCACTTGTGTTAACAAGTTGTTAGACTAATCGCTATATCTCTTGTTCAAGTGCAATAAAGAATTTAAAGGAAATCTAAAAGTCAGTTTGAAAGAATCATCTTTATTCTTTTTTTTTTATACAACTTAGAATGGCAAACAAGCTGACGGCCCACCTGATGGAAAGTGGTAACCGTCGCCTATAGACGTGAGCAGTACCATGGACATAATAGAGCATACTGTTTCGCCCATGGTACCCCCCATGCGTTGTCATTCCTGAGGACTCAGTTATTATTCCTCTGTACCCAGTAAATTTACGCCATATCCCATCCTTCAAACTGAAACACAGCCATGCAAACACAACTGCTTCACGGTTGAAACACGAATGGGACAGAGGTACCCAAGTAATCGACTTTTGTACAAAGTCTCCCTCTGGCTCTACAGCTATCATTCGGAAATTAGTAAATTAAGCAGCCAATGGAGCTCATCTCCTTTTAAATTCTGATTTTCAAAAACAGCTATTCAGTAACAGTTGATGTCTACAGTTGATGACGGTTGCCACTTCCCATCAGGTGGTCCATTCCAAGTCACAAAAGGTATGTATTACCTATTTCCAATAAATAAGTTTTCTATTTGACACTAAACGATCGACATGGTCTAACTAATAACAAGATTTAATTTTAATTAATTCGATAACCCCTGAGTAGTTGAGAACGTTGAATTAAATTTATTTTAATATAAACGGCTTGTAATTGTGGTGTGTTAGTTAATAACTACGACATTGTTTTAACGATCAAATTGATCAAACAGATACTTCTCTATATTATATATATATATATATATATATAAACAAACAACCGTGTGGTCCCGGCATTAAAATAGGTCACCCCTTTTTTCCGTGGGTGTCGTAAGAGGCGACTAAGTGAGGGCGAAGGATGGGCAGCAGAGTCCCTCTTAAAACATCTTTAAAGCCTATCTGCGGTGAACAGTTGTGACAGTTGAAAGCTGATATATTAATGATAATGAAACAAGTTTACAACAAAACAACAATAATTTTACCAGAGGGAGACTTTGTACAAAAGTCTATTGCTTGGGTACCTCTGTCCCATAAGTGTTTCAACCGTGAAGCAGTTGTGTTTGCATGGCTGTATTTCGGTTTGAAGGGTGGGATATGGTGTGAATTTACTGGGTACAGAGGAATAACACCTGAGTCCTCAGGAATTGCAACGCATGGGGGTATCATGGGCGAAACAGTATACTCTGTTACGTCCATGGTACTGCTCATGTCTATAGGCGACGGTTACCTCTTTCCATCAGGTTTCCGTCAGCTTGTTTGCCATTCTAAATTGTATAAAAAAAAAGAATAAAACGATTAGCGTGTGTTAAAGGGAATGTTCTGCTAGAGAAACTAAATAACACAAAAAAAAATAACATGTGTCGAAAAACGTGAAAATTTTTTGAGTTTCTCATATTAACACAGTGCGTACAGATGTTGAGGTAGTATGAGGATTAAACTCAGGATATTTATACGCAATTTGGGTACCGAACGGTTGACACTAGGCTCAGAGCAGCGACCTAATAATTTACTCGAAGTGAAACACGTGTCACAAAACGTGCGTGAACAGAATAGCAGTCGGAGATTGATAGGTAATATAAACAGTTGTGGAAATTCTAATAGTAATAGTCAATCTTCGAGTGTTGGTAGTCATACACATACCAATTAGCAGGTAGCAGAATTAATCAAAATAATTCTTATTAAATAACTAGTGATTTTAGCTGTTACGTACCACTAAAGACTGTTATAGTTATAATACCATACATGTATTTTTTTTTAATGGGTGATAATGGTATGCTAACCCCGTCTGCGCTATCGGTATACACTGGCGGGGCACCAGTGATAGATGACTGATGAGGATGAAAACAGGTCAGTTAGCCCATCGTGACATATTCAACTAGAATTAGCCACGATGGTTTCCAGGGGGAACTGCGTGGAGGTTGACCTGACAGGGTATATTGCCAGTAATGGGGCTATTTGACCCCACTGCTAACAATCCCTTTCCCCCCTATACATGTATTTTTTTTTTGTATGAAAATGGTATGGTAACCCCGCCTGCGCTAATGGGATACGCTGGCGGAGCACCAGTGAAGGGTGATCGAACAGGCCAGTTAGCCCATCATGATGAATTCATCAGGAATTAATTATGATAGTTTCCAGGGGGAACCGCGAGGAGGTCGACCTGGTTGAATATATTGTGCTAGCAATGGGATTCTTAGTTCCCATTACTAACAATCCCTTTTCCCCCTATACATGTATATTAATAATAACTTGAAACTTAATTAAACTTAATTAATTGTCAGGCTGTTATGAATGCATCGCCAATGGCATTCTGTCGCTTATCACAAACCACAGAGTATCATTAATATGTGCGTCAACCGCCCATTAATTTAGGAATATTGTAACTATTTAATAAACATGTTAGTGGACTGTCCTGGACAACACAGTGTTCAAAGGCAAAATATATGAACACGTCCAAAGTTTGGGAGAGAGAATTACTGTTAACAGGGACATCAACACGCTCGGTCAAGAACCATCGTGATTATTTCCAAAAACCACATGGCATATAACTCGCCGTGTGGTCCCAGGATAAAATAAGCCACCCTTTCCTTTCCCGTGGGAGTCGTAAGAGGCGATTAAGGAAGGGCGAGGGATGGGCAGCAGCGTCCCTTTTAAAACATTACCAAAACCTAATTGTAGTTGCCAATCCGACTGCCAAACGTGGCAACTACTAACAAAAATCCTTCAAATGCTTATGTTCAGCAGTAGACAGTTAAAGTCTGATGTGATGATGATGACGATATAGCTTAGTTATAGTTGAGTTTCCCGCGTATTCCTCGTATTTTACGAGTACTTCTATAAGTAGCCACTCCTTCCTTTCAAGTGGGTGTCGTATCGTCGAGGCGACTAAGAGAACTTAATGGTCGAAGGATGAGCAACAGTGTCTGTCCTAAAACATCACCAAAAGCCTAACTGCGGTTGCCATCCCACCTGCCAGGCATGACAACTACTGGCATCGAATCCCATTGCTAGCAATATATCCAACCAGGTCGATCCCCCCGCGGTTCTCCCTGGAAACTATCATGGTTAATTCCTGATGAATTCATCATGATGGACTAACTGGCCTGTTTTCATTCTCATCTGTCACCCTTCACTGGTGCTCCGCCAGCGTATTCCGTTAGCGCAGGCGGGGTTACTATACCATTTTCACCCATC